AGGAGGGAGAGGATCAGGAAAAATAGCTAATGGATATTAGGCTTAATACCTGGGTCATGAAATAATCTATAGAATAAACCCCCATGACACAGGTTTACCTGCGTCACAAAACTGCACATGTACCCTGTACTTAAAAGTTAATAAATGAAATAATAATTAAATATTTATCTTTTTATGTTTTTTAAATATGATATTTATTTTTAAGGTGTACATCATATGTTCTGAGTATAATTTCGTTGATAGTATACTAGTATTTTGATAGTACATATCTTGATACTTATACTGATTATCAATGATCAAGAATATCCTGCCCTCCCTCTTCCATCTTTCTCTCTCCCTCCTCCGTTCCCTCCCCTTCCTCTTCTTTCCTTCCTTCCTTCCTTCCTTCCTTCCTTCCTTCCTTTCTCTCTTTCTTTCTTTCCTTCTTTCTTTCTTTTTCTTTCTTTCTCCTTTTCTTCTTTTTGTGGTAAGAGTATTTAAAATCTACTTTCTTGGCAAATTACAAGTATGCAATAAAATGTTTCTTTTAAAGTTAATAAATAAACACACAGATACCTGTTTATGTCTATATCTATGTCATCTATTTACATCCATCAAACATATATATACATGTGAATAAGGTAGTTGTTTCTCCAAATGTACAGAAGGATTGCAAATCCAAGCTGGGCTGATGAATTCAGAGCCATTGCCTTTAGCATAAATGCTATTTCTGGACCCTTCCTGGCCTGATCCCAAGTAGTGGTAAGGGATGTCAGTTGTCCTTTACAACCACCACAGAGGAGAGAGGAAGAAGGCATCCTGCTGTTCTGCTGTCTTGTATTACAAGAATCCCAGGGTGATAGACAAATTTAGAATGCATTTATAAACCGAAGTTCATTGTAGAAAACCAGTTGGTCCTCTTTGAACTTTCCCAGAGGGCATATTTCCATGGAAGCATGGGAATTTAGATTACATTCTTTTTCAGACTGGTCACTTTTCTCAAGGGTGTTTCAAGTTCAAGTTCAGAACCCTGAGTTATTCAATTTTCCATTCACAAGGTAGAATTCTATGATTCCTCAGACATCCATTGTTGAAGCATCTGTTTGTCAGCTCAGAGAAGCTCTGAGTAAGAATCCCATGAAGACAATCCAGAGATCAGCCGGTTATTTGGTTTAAAGTACTCAGAACTTTCAAGCAAGGTGAGAAAATGAATTTCATATTTTCACAGTAAAAAACCAATCCCATCTATGCATTCATTATTAATATCAAGTGCATGACCCGTACTCTCTGACACAAGTTCTATAATCTAGATAGCTGAGGTTTAAACCAAGAGAGAGAAGTTGCCTTTCTAGTCAGAAGCCGGGTCCATGAAGCCCACCATTCTGTTGCCAACAATAGTTTCCTGGGATATTCTATGAAATAGCCTTTTTACTTGTCCTGACATTGACCTCTGAGGTTCATTTATGGAACTGCTTTTTATTTTTTACTCAAACCAGTTTTACTTTTTTGCCCTTCTTACTGGTAAAAATCTTGGAGTCATGAACTCCGTAATCTGATTTTCTACTCTGAAGTAGCTTCTTTTTATTTATTCTCAGCCTGCCTTGCTCATGCTGAAAGTTGCTTTGTTTTAAAATTATGATCTCTCTATTTCTGTCCTCTTATTTGTTTTTCTCTTTTTATTATACTTTATCTATTTTCAGGAATAATTTGGGCAAGAAGTGCCCAGGTTTTAGTATAGACACCAAATTCATGCCTCTTTTAGTCACAAGAGAGAACTTTCCTTACCTCATCTTTATTATAATACAGTTCAGAGAAAAGTTCACGTGTTCTTTTTTTTGAGACTATTAGCATACTTACCACTTAGATTTTCCTGCTAAAATAGGCCTGATTGTGTGCTATCACAATTCTTTACAATGTGCATTGAAATGAAACACAAAACACATTATTGTGACCATAACTTAACAAAAAATTTGGCTGACGCTCATAGAACTATAAAGATTAGTATTTCTGTTCTCACAAATAAAATTTATCATACGCATTTCTTCAATAATTCCGCAGGCAGCTTTGCTTGCCTTCTAGGGTTCAGACCTGTGGCTTGGAGAAGCATCAGTACCCTGGAGACTTGCTGAGCACTGGCCACTGCTGTCCACCTCCTCCCCATGTGACCTGGCTTCCCCCTCTCTGAGAAATGGAAACAATAAGAAAATAATGCTCCAGACTCCCTCCTCTTAGCTCTTCATCTGCCAGCACCCGTCTCCACTTTCTTCCCCTTTGTACATCTTCCTTGGATGCCCTCTCCATACTCCCGCCGAAGCAAGCTTCTCCAGCAATGTGTGCTGCCCCCCTGTTTTCCCCTGACTCCAGGGCACGGCTCCCAGAGCTTTCTCCACTTTCTCCCACATTGCCAAGTTTCTCCTCTTCACTGGATTATCACCATCTATGCAAAAGCATGCTGTCATTTCTCCCATTTTTGATGACCCTTCTCGTAACCCCATTTCTTCTGCCTGCAGTCACCCATTTCTTTGCTCCCTTTTTCAATAAAGCTGTCAAGAGTTATCTATACTCACTAACTCCATTTCCTCTCCCCCTCTTGTCTTTTAACCTCACTCCACCGGCTTCTGTCCCCTATACTCCACAAACACATTGTGGAAGATCTTTGTGATGCTAAACCCAATGGGACCAGTTACATTCCACTCAGCTGACCCCTTCCTCTCTCTTGATTCATGTTGTCTCTTAGATTCCACAATACCACACTCCTGTGGTTTTTCTCAAAACAAGTTTTCCTTTCTTTCCCCTCTGATTTTTTACTTTTTATGGCCCAGAGCTCAGTCTTCCTCTCCTCTCTATCCACACACATTCCTCTTGTGACCTTATGCAGTCTCACGGCTTCAAATACCATTCACACACTGATGTTCAAGTTCATAGTCTACACTGCAGCCTCCTGACATTGCCTCCTTTGTCCAACTGTCTTTTCGACATCTCCACTGGTGCTTTATTCACATTGGACTCTCCACACATTCAACACTGAGCCCATTCCCAACCTTCCCTTCTCAACTGATAGCTACCCTGCTCTACCAACTTTTTCCTCCCCCAAACCTGGGGTCATTCTCAACTGTTATCACTTTTGCACATTCCATATCCTTTGAGTGAGGGAATTGCTTTGGCTTTATTTTGAAACTTGTCCAGCAATCTAATTATTTGTTACCATCTCTGGGACTACCACTCTATTCTGAGGGACCACAATCTCATGCCCCTGTTTCCCAGTGGCCTTGGATTTGGTCTCCACGTTCCTGACCCTGACTCTACCCCACGTCCTCTGGAGTCTGTCCTAGATACAGAAGCCAGAGTGGCTCATTGTAAATGTCTGTTCCTGGTATCCCTTACTGCTGAAAACTTTTCTTCTTCTAAAATGGCTTGCTAGACTCCACATAACCTAACCCCACATTATTTTCCTCACTACCAAATTTCTCCCTGTTCTCTTTACTCCAGATATGCCTGTCACCAGGTCTTCCATTCCATCGGCTTCCTCCAGCCTCAGGGCCTTTGTCCAGATGCTCTTTCTGCTGAGAAAGCCCTTGCCCTAGATACCGATGTGACTAATTTTCTCATCCCCTTTAAGAGTTTTCAAAATGTCCTTCTTTTTGAAAATAAAGCCTACCCTGGTGATGTGGTTTGGCCAAAGCCCCCCACCCAAATCCCATTCTGAATTGTAGTTCCCATAATCCCCACGTGTCATGGGAGGGACCCTGTGGAAAGTAATTGAATCATGGGGGTGGTTTCCCCCATGCTGTTCTCATGATGGTGAGTAAATTCTCATAAGGTCTGATGGTTTTATGAGGGACGTTTCCCTTGCTTCACTCATACTTCTCCTTGCTGGTGCCGTGTGAAGAAGGATGTGTTTGCTTCCTCTTCTGCCACGATTATAAGTTTCCTGAGGCCTCCCCAGCCATGCCGAGCTGTGAGTCATTTAAACCTCTTTCCTTTATAAATTACCCAGCCTTGGGTATCTCTTTATTAGCAGTGTGAGAACCAGTTAATACACTTGGCCACTATATTTTAAAAATCATAACCAGCTGCCTTTGATACTATTTCTTTTCCTTGCCTTATTTTGTTTTGCTATTTGTCATTTAGTATACTTATTATTTGTGTTCTCACACTAGAATGTAAGCTGTAAGAGGGCAGAGGATTGTTTTTTTTCTTGTTCATTGATAGTTCCAGGGTGCCCAGAAGAGGACCTAGCACATATTAGGTACATGCTAGTTGAAAAATGACCATAATGTACTTAATTCTCCCAGCTATCCTTTATGAAGTACTGCTGCTGGCCTCACAGAGGCACAGGAGATACATTGACTTATCTGCCCACAGGCACACAGCACACAGCTTAGAAGCTACCCAACTGGAATTTAAGCCTATGCAGTCAGACATCCAGAGGCCTGCTCTTAACTGCTTTGGCAAAATACCCACACTTCTCCAAGAACTGAGCATCCAGGATGTCTTAGTCCTTTCTGTGTTGCTACAAAGAAATATCTGAGGCTGGGTGATTTATAAAGAAAAGAGGTTTATTTTGCTCATGGTTCTGTAGGCCATGCCTCTGCTCAGCTTCTGGTGAGGGCTTCTGCGCTGCACCAAACCTAGTGAGAAGGTCAAAAAAGAAGCAGGCACTTGAAAGGGACCAAACCCGAGAGTGTCCTGGCTTCATAACAACCCACTCTCAAGGGAACTCATCCATTCCTTCAAGAACTGATTCATCTCGTGAGATGGAAAACTCACTCACTACCATTAGAACAGCACCAAGTCATTCACAAGGAATCTGTTCCCATAACTCAAACATCTTCCACTAATACCTTCCTCCTAATATTGTCACGCTGAGGATTAAATTTCAACATGAGCTATGGTTTTTTGTTGTTGTTGTTGTTCCATAGCACAGGGGAACATGATAGATAAACCTGCCCTCACTGATGGAGCAGTCCAGTGAGAGAGGTAGATATTAAACTCATGATCAAGCCCTATACTCAACTTGCCTCAAATCCTCTCTCAGATGTAAGCACTCTGTCTTCCAACTGAATCCAGGAATATCTCCATATGGGTTTCATCCGTCACTTTGAAGCAAGTCAGCTCTGTTAGCAGTGGGTCACTGCAGGTCTTAGAAGGAAAAATCATAGCAACAACGTTTTGTAAAAAAATCATAATTAAAGAACTCAAAAGTGAACTATGGTGCATTACTTTTCTACTGCTATCATAACAAATTGCAACAAATTCACAGGACATGTGACAGCCGCATGGCAGCAGAAGAGAGGGAGGTGAGCTAGATATTTTTAGAGGTAGACTCCAAAGAATTTTATGATCTGAAAAAGAAATTGTAATAAAGAATCACAATGTCTTTTTTCTATTATAGATTCCTTTAAAATTAAACTTAGCATCTACTCATAGATATTATTATTAAATAGCCAAAATATTATTATTCTTGATCCATTAGAACTAATCTCATATCTTGACAAATAAGAAAATACAAGGGTTTTATTTTTTATTCTTTTACTCCTATGAATTCATTGACATTCGATCAGAATGATAAAAATAGGTAAAGCTGAAAATTCCCATAAACTCTTGGGGCTAAGACAGCACTGTTTCCTCCAGTCCTTGCTGCTGTACCAAGAGAGCAGACACTGTTCCAGTATCTCACTCCATCACCAGCACCAGCCCAACCTCCACGCCTACCATCCCTCCAGTGGTGCAGGTGGAGGGCTGGGTGATGCTGCATAAGCAAACAGAAACCAGTGTATTTTTACAAACTATTATTCTTTATGATCTGTAAATATAGAATCTTGTTAGTTAATTTGTCTCCTAGTGGCTGTGTGATTATCTAAGATGACTTCACAATCTACATTTTAGTTTTTCAGTAAATATCAAGTATGTTTTATATTTACAATAAAGTTGGAACAAAGAAACTTGAGCTATAATTATTTTCAGATTAACTGATTAAATAGCCAGGAAATCTGTATGCATCAACTAAAAACTACCATGATAAATTTATTAAAGTAGTAAATTTAAAAATGTAAAAAATAGTCTTTCATATAATATTTATTATCTTAAAATATAAGAGAACATATATTAAATAATTTTATACATGTAAAAATTTAACCTTTTGAAATCAATATGGCAACATATGGGGGAAGCTCTAAAGAGAGTCAAAACCTTGAATCATTCAAAACCTCTCTTAAGCATTTATAAAACGGATCTGTTCTCCCAGATGTGATGAAACAAGCTTCCCTGGTGGCATTATCAATGAGAGCAAACAATTTAAAAAACTCTAAACATCTAACGTCAGAGGAAAGAAAGATAAAGAAGTTCATGAATTTATGTATAATATTTATATTACACCTCTTTCCATAAAATATTTAACACTGCTTATAACAAATATCCATCAAAATAGAAAAATATGTTTACAACAGTTTTACCAAAAAAAGGTATACAAAATGCATCGACTATAAAAGTTAGCATTATTTCTGTGAATGAGTTGTGAACAGGCTTTTTGTTTTTGATTTTTTTTCTGAGAAAGGGTCTCCTTGTGTCATCCAGGCTGGAGTGAAGTGGTACAACCTTGGCTCATTGCAACCTCCACCTTCCAGGCTCAAGCAATCCTCCCACCTCAGCCCCTAGTAACTGGGACCACAGGCGTGCACCACCACACCCAGCTAATCTTTGTATTGTTTGTAGAGATAGGGTTTTGTCATGTTGCTCAGGGTGGTCTCAAATTCTGAGTTCAAGCCATCCACCCGCCTTGGCCTCCAGAGTGTTGGGATTACAGGTGTGAGCCACTGTGCCCAGCCTTGAACAGATCTTAATAGCCTACTTACATCTTAGCTAAGAAAAAAAAAATGTACAGAATTCTAATTATGAGAGAGGAGAAAACATTAAGTTCAAGGGGACACAGCGTTTTCTTAGTCCTAAATTCTAAAATAGCTTTCTCTTATAGAAGATTTATTACAAGGACGTGAACCAGTATAATAACAAGGGTTCTCTAAAAACATTTAGGCATTATTAAGCAGCCAGGATATTACTGTTTTTGATCCACTAGAACCAATTTTATGTCTTGAGAAATAAGAAAATACAACGGTTTCCATTTTTATTCTCTTACTTTAAAGAACAACTTTATTAGAAGTTCAGGAACAGATTTCCTAGCCTCATCCCATATACTATCCATCAATAAAAATTGAGAGATGACATCTCACTTCAAGTCTGAGCAATGGAAGAGGTAAAATGAGGTAGTTCAGATATACATGGACTGATTGGCTAGATCTATTCTTAGCACGTAGAGTCTCTAAATTTTGACTGTACTGCATTGTATTAGTCTGTTCTCATGCTGCTAACAAAGACATACCCAAGACTAGGTAATTATAAAGGCAAGAGGTTTAATTGACTCACAGATCCACGTGGTTGAGGAGGCCTCACAGTCATGGTTGAAAGCAAGGAAGAGCAAGTCACATCTTACATGGTGGCAAGCAAGAGAGAATGAGAACCGAGCAAAAGAGATTTTCCCTTATAAAACCATCAGATCTCATGAGACTTGTTCACTACCATGAGAACAATATGGGGGAAACTGCCCCCATGATTTAATTATCTCCCACTGGGTCCCTCACACAATATGTGGAAATTATGTGAGCTATAAGTCAAGATGAGATTCGGGTGGGGACACAGCCAAACCATATCATGCATGTTCCTCATCTAATGAGATCTTATGAATCTAATCTCTGTAGTGCAGACGCTTGAATCTGCACACTCTGGTGCTTTTCTGTCACTACTGTTTTATGTTGTTTATATTTATGAATGAGAATAAACCTATACATTTCAGAAAACATGGTTCAATGAATACATAATTTTATTTATTCAGATAATGGAATATTTACTCAGATATTTAAATTACAATTATGAAAACTACTTAAAAAATGTGGTATCTACAGTAACATAATGATAATTAAATGTAGTCGGCAGACTTCTGCGACAATCCCCAATGACTGCCATGTTCTTTGTATTCATGTCCTTGCACTTAATCCCGTCCTTTGAGTGTAGGGTAGACACAGTGATCTTCTAAGCCGCAAGTTTCTCTGCCATTCAGGTGCTGCATCCATGGCTTCTTCACTGTAATCCTAGCTTCAGGGAGGAGGCACTGCTTCCAAATTTGTCCTTCCTTGGGTACTCTCCCTCAGCTGAGGTGATTCTTTTGAGTGCTCTTTATGCTTTCATATTCCTAGTTAGAACTTCTTTACATTGAAAGTCCTCTGTTCAAATTACTGCAGGGCTTTTTGCTCCTGATTGTACCATCCTTGATAAGGAGCTTGTTGATATGAAGTTCTCTTCCAGGATACAGGATTTAGTACCCAGTGAGAACCCTGGAGACAGTGTGAACATACCATAAGGATTGGGTTCCTAATGGCCAATGAGCAGAGAATGAAAATAAGTCTGAGCTGTGGTTCAAGGCTGGTCCAACTTGGTCACAATTGATCACATTGGAGTCCTCCTGTCTTGTAAGGGGCAGCAATTCTTTTTGATAGGAAAGGACACATTCTGGTGGTGAGCTTGCCTTTCTGGTTTGGGGCCTCCGCACAGTATTCTGTTGCTCTGGGAGCTTACAGAATGTTTGGTGCGTAGTAAGGCATTTCATGTGACATCACATCACACCAAGGGACCCACTTTATAAAAACAGAGGCATGACAGTGGGGACGTGACCACAGCACTAATCTCACCACACATCACACCCTCAGAAGCATCCAGTCCAGAGTAATGGGACAGCCTGCAAAGATGCATCTTCTGGGTCAGCTCAGAGGTAATGTCCTGTGAGTATGAGGGGTCATTTTTTAAAATTCAGTGTAGGTGCTAAGTCAATGACCATTTCATGTGCTACATTTCCAACAGAATAAATCATTAGGTTTCAGCAGAAGTGGCCTTGTCAGTCATCATATCCACTTGTGAATGTGTGATTTTCATCTAGACAGTTGAGATTTCTGTGGATTTTAGAGGTACTGATTTCCAGAGGACACACTTAGAATTCTACTGAATGCAAAACTCCAGCCACCACGTGGGCAGTTCAGACTGCTTGTGCCAAAGGAAGGGAATCCTCTTACAGAATGACTGATTTCCAATATGGCATTTCTTGTGACATCACATCAGACCAAATGGCCCACTTGATAGAAAGGAAGGTGCCATAGCGTACATGCCAGGCCACCTAGAAGAGGTTCTACCACTGCAGCAAGGTAGCTGTCCCTGCCGTCAGGAGGGTGTGCGGTCACCTCTACATGGAGCTGGGGAGAAATAAGCTTGACACGTGGTATCCACGTAGTGTTTCTTAGGACTTTCTTCTCCAGTTTTAACAGTGAATGGAACCATCCCCTGATAAGGCATGATAAACACTGACTCAGACCTCCAAGGACAGGAGTTGGCTCATGACCCAGACAAACCAGAAGAGTTGCTAGCCAAGTGGGATGAGAGCCTCATATGGGAAGAAGGGAAAGTTATGAGCATCATTTGCACATTGAGGCTGGCTCTAGTGGCAGAGACTGTAGTTCAGTCCAGAAAATTTCCTCTGCTAAGTTTCCCCAGGAGGAGATGCTAGTAGCCTCCTGGGTGAGCTGCTCCCAGGTCTCACAAGTAGCAACTCTATCAGAAAGGCCACAACAGTGGGCTCTTAAGGGTGCTGGGCTCCATCTCCCAGATCCCCTTCTAGAACAGAAGGACTCCATTTCCCTGGCTGCTGAAAACACTTCGGGCTGGTAGCTCCTCAGGAATTGCCTTGGCTGAGAGTCACCTTGCCCAAGGTCCTGCTGCCTTCTGGGCAGCCCTCAGACAATGACTGGCTAATGCAGTAGCATAGAGGCTCTGTCTCCTCATGCCAACTCTGGACCTCTCTTAGGGGGCATCTTAGATGTAAGGTCTTCTCCCTGTAGGGTTAGCAGAGATCTCACTGGGGCTGCACCTCAACCCAACTTCTTCCTCTGCCCAATTCTCCTTTCTTCCCCTCCATTCATAGGTACTGATCCTGTGATCACTCCCTAAAAAACTTCCGGGATGTTCATCTGTATCTCAGAGGCACTTCCCAGTGAATCCGAGCTGTACATTAGGATTTTTAAAAACATCTGATACAAATGAAAATGTGAAATTTTTATTTTTTTTATTCAAATGAATCTATGGCTATGACATAACCTTTTCAAAATGTATAAAGGAATATGTTTTCTAAAACATAATTATAAAATTCATCTATCTTGTAGAGAGAAAAAGAGAACTGAGCCTAGCTAGGCAGATTAGAATCTAAGGGATGGAAAGAAAGTAAGTCAAACTCTCCATCTCCTCCCCGCACACCCACACACAATTTGCAAAGGGATGAGTTATTTAAATGTTACATCCAGAAAAAGAACAAAAAATCGTTTATTTATTAGAAGTTGGAGTTGCAAAAGGCCAAGTTAAGTATGCAACCAAAACCCAAACCAGAAACTACAGAATAAAAGATTTAGAGTCATGTCTACAGAAATTTGAAATTATTATATGATGATATTATCCAAAATCAAATTAAAAAAACAATAAATGTGACTCATAAATGTTAATATCATTAATACATAAAGATGTCCTGCAAATAGTTAAGATAGAATCTGAAAATATAATTAAGAATGAGAATAAACAATTCAGAATTTTAAAAATAACCAGTACAAATACTATCAACCCTGAAATTGATTAATCTCAGTGATGATCAATGGGGTATACATTTCAAATATAAATGTGAAATTATTGCCACCTGTCAAGTTGGAAAAGATTAAAACAATGAAAATGTTTATGATTTCCCAGTTTATGGTTAAACATCTGTATTAGGCCATTTTTACACTACTATAAAGAACTTCCCCAAACTGGGTAATTTATAAAGGAAAGAGGTTTAAATGACTCACAGTTCTGCATGGCTGGGGAGACCTCAGGAAAGCTACAATCATGGTGGAAGGGGAAGCAGGCACACCTTACATGGTGGCAGGTGTGTGTAAGAGAGAGAGAGCATGTCAGAGCACAGGAAAAGCTACCATTTATAAAACCATCAGATCTTGTGAGAACTCATACACTATCGCAAGAACAGCATGGGGGAAAATGCTCCCATTATACAATCACCTCCCACAAGGTCCCTCCCTTGACATGTGGGAATTATAGGAATTACAATTCAAGATAGAAATGGGTGAGACCCTAGAGCCAAACCCTATAAACACAACTGGAATGTGAAGGTGTAGATTTTTGAGAGGTGTAGTAGAAACAAAAGCAGTAGAAAGAAAACAATTTTCAGCCTTGTGTCTCAAGTACATTTGACATAGCCTTATTTTTAATGCTAAAGCCTAAAGACAAATGAACAATGCAATAAAAAAAAGAGCTGGAGATGTAAATCAGTTCATATCTATGGCTACAGAGTCATTTGAAATAGTTTTGTAGCAAAATATTCAATTGCTTGAAAAAAATTTACATTAGTTATTTAAAATTTGTTTTTAAAATAGCATGGTATCATTTTGAAGAATCAGATAACTTACCAAACACCAAAAGTAATCATTGAATAGTATCATTATGGGGCCATTGTTATTTTTTCCCTTATGCTTTTCTGCATTTATCAAATGTTTAATATTAAATGTAAGGATTAGTTACAATAATAATCCCTAGGTATAGCAGTTATAGACATAATTAAAAGCAAATATAGTAAGTAAAAAGAAGGTTAAGGCAATGTCACTTATATCTGCAAATTTATTTATTTATATTTTTTATTTTACTTTAAGTTTTGGGATACACGTGCAGAACGTGCAAATTTATTACGTAAGTATACATGTGCAATGGTGGTTTGCTGCACCTATTTGACCTGTCCTTTAAGTTTTCTGCCCTCACTCCTCACCTCCAAAACAGGCCCCGGTGTGTGTTGTCCCCCTCTCAATGTCCATGTGTTCTCACTGTTAAACTCCCACTTATGAGTGAGAACATGCAATGTTGGGCTTTCTGTTCCTGTGATAGTTTGCTGAGGATGATGTCTTCCAGCTTCATCCATGTCCCTGCAAAGAACATAATCTCATTCCTTTTTATGGCTGCATAGTACTCCATGCTGCATATGTACCACATTTGCTTTATCCAGTCTATCATTGATGGGCATTTGGGTTGGATCTATGACTTTGCTATTGTAAATAATGCTGCAATAAACATACGTGTGCAAGTGTCTTTAGAGTAGAATGATTTATATTCCTTTGGTTATACACCCAGTAATGGGAATGCTGGGTCAAATGGTATTTCTGGTTCTAGATCCTTGAGGAATCGCCATACCATCTTCCACAATGGTTGAACTAATTTATTTTCACAACAACAGTGTGAAACTGTTCCTATTTCTCCATAGCCTTGCCAGCATCTATTACTCTTGACGTTTTAATAATAACCATTCTGACTGGTGTAAGATGGTATCTCATTGTGGTTTTTATTTGCATTTCTCTGATGATCAGTGATGTTGTGCTTTTTACATATGTGTGTTGACTGTGTAAATGTCTTCTTTTGAGAAGTGTCTGTTGATATTCTTTGCCCACTTTTTCATGGGGTTGTTTTTATTCTTGTAAATTTGTTTAAATTCTTTGTAATTCTGGATATTAGACCTTTGTCAGATAGGTAAATTGCAAATATTTTCTCCCACTCTGCAGGTTGCCTGTTCACTCTGATGCTAGTTTCTTTTGCTGTGGAGAAGCTTTTCAGTTTAATTATATTCCATTTGTCAATTTTGGCTTTTGTTGCGATTGCTTTTGTCATTTTTCATCATGAAATGTTTCCCCATGCCTATGTCCTGAATGGTATTGCCTAGGTTTTCTTCTAGGGTTTTTATGGTTTTGTGTTTTAAATTTGAGTCTTTAATTCATCTTGAGTTAATTTTTGTGTAAGGTGTAAGGAATGGGTCTACTTTCAGTTTTCTGCGTATGGTTAGCCAGTTTCCCCAGCACCATTTACTGCATAGGAGATCCTTCCCCCATTGGTTATTTTTGTCAGGTTTGTCAAAGATCCAGTTGTTGGAGAGGTGTGGTGTTATTTCCGAGGTCTCTGTTCTGTTCAGTTGGTCTATATGCCTGTTTTGGTACCAGTACCATGCTGATATGGTTACTGTAGCTTTGTAGTATAGTTTGAAGTTGGGTAGTTTGATGCCTCCAGCTTTGTTCTTTTTGCTTAGGATTGTCTTAGCTATACGGGGACTTCTTTGATTCCATATGAAATTTACAGTGTTTTTTTTCTAATTTTGTGAAGAATGTCAATGGTAGTTTGATGGGTATAGCATTGAATCTATAAATTACATTCGGCAGTAGAGCCATTTTCACAATATCGATTTTTCCTATTGATGAAGATGGAATGTTTTTCTATTTGTTTTCCACTTATTTCCTTGAAGAGTGGTTTGTAGTTCTCCTTGAAAAGGTCCTACACATCACTTGCTAGCTGTATTCCTAGGAATTTTATT